AAAGGTTGCAAAGCCAGAGGGAGGTAAATGACCACAAGGAAATGGAGTTTTCCAGACAGCTGGTTACTCCCTCATAGGAACTCATAGCAATAATGACAGCATGCACAAGTCCCATGAAAGCTGAAACCATACAAAATCCCAGCATAGACATGGGTAAGAAACTTCAACCCAACCTAAGGAACTTTCAGAAACCAATTGCTGCTTGGAGGAGAAACAGTCTCTTTCAAGGATGGGACTCTTAGTAAGTTAACCAGGTTCCAAAGAATGGCCCCACACTGAAGGACATTTGGGGACACAAATTAGACTCTCTCCTTAAAGTATATACATATACATTATAAAAGAAATTAAAACATAGAAAAACTATTAAAAAATCTCTCTCTATATATATATACACACACACACACACACCGGGGGGGGGATAACTGGGGGGCAGTAAGGGAAGGTGTGGATAGGAGAGGGGATCTAAATACCATCAAATTATATTGTATGAAAACTGCAAAGATTAAATTAAAAAAATCAAAAGTATGACTAGCACAGATCATTCTGACAGAACAGTAACAAACATCTCTGCAGTTTCTACAGTTTGGAATAGCAAATATTCGTTTTCTTCACTCACATTGCATGTTCATTATGGGCTGTGGGGATGGTAAGAGACCTTTGTATGCCCTCCTGATTCAAGAACCATGGTAAAGAAAACTCCCACTGTGTTCCTTGATGGATGACATATACATGAAAATAGACAAGGGAGTGCAGTAGATCAGGCTCCTGAAGCATCTGCCAAAAAGTGACACAGACCATAGTTCATTGGTGAAGAACAGCATCAGACACCTAGTAATCTGTGATCCTACTATGTGCCTGGATACTATCATATGAGACATTTTGGAGATGGCACAAGTCACTCACTCCTTTCAACAGTCACTTCACATCTGTCCTTAGAAGAATGCATCAGAAACTGACATTCATCTCTCAAGTCTTGGATGATGTTTATACTCTTGCCTTGATGGTTTTTTTCCAAATGTGGGGTACTGCTTGCACTGTCAGTGGATAAATAATGTCAAAATTGTCTTCATTTAAATGTTGTAGCTAAAACAATAGGTCAGAAATTAGGCCCTTCCCAAGACTGCACACTCACCTTTAGCTGAAGGTGTTCCTTCTGTGTTCATAGTTAGCCTTTCTAATTTATTTTGATATTTCCATATTCTCAGACCACTCCAACTTTATTTTCCTTCTTGAACTTCACATTATTTTACAACTTGTTAAGAACAAAAGATATAAGGATTAACTTTAGTATATTGAATTCGTTTGTGTTTAAAGAGGGGATGGAGTCAAGTTTTTAAGCCCTACTCTATCAAAAGGCATGACGCTCCAAATTGTAATACATAGCAGACTAAGACTGGAATACTGATTGCAAAGGGCTTATACATTTCACTAAGCCTAGATATAGGTAAGCTTGAATATAGAATGATACATACCCATCCATCCATCATCCATTCAGTAAATGCCAGGTGTAGTGCAGTGTTAAAAGGAGGCATCTACAGAGGAGTCTTGAAAAGTCCTCATCTTCAATTAATTCAGAGGTGATGGATGGCTTATAAAACATGACACTCTAATTATTGTTCATTCAAGATACAGTGAGAGTCTAGGAAAGGTACAGAGTCCAGACCAAGAATTCAAGGTTATCTATTCATCCTACAAGGTGAATGGAATTTTTTTAAATGAATGAAGTAATGGATATTTCAGACAGAATCAATGTCATGGGCCCAGGGAGGGGAGAAGGCACACAGAGCTCAGGCAGTGACATGTGGCTTACATGACTGGAGTTTAACATGTGCATAAAAGACAAGAATAACTGTGGCATTGAACAGATTCTTAAGGACTCTGCATTCCAGACTAGGAATTTCCCATTTTATCTTAAGGCTAGTGGTATTGAAATATGTTTAGCCCCATCTTTATTAATAAAACTGTGAATGTATCCAATATTTAATAATTTATAAAAGGTATTATGTATTATGTATTATGTATTATTCATACACTTATAATATACACAATGTAAGTTTTTAAATCATGTTGAATTTAATATTTTTAAATTTTATTAATTACAATGCAAAATATTTTGCTCTCTCCATTTTAGTAAGAGCAATGAGTTTGAATACAGTTTTTTCAAGTCTTAATACAGCACTCCTCATGCTAGGATGGGGCTGCAGCTCTAGAACTCCATTACAGACTGGTAATATAATAAATCAAAATTGGATACAAAACATGTGAACTGCCTGACAGCATAGTTGTGCAATTCAGTTTTATACACCGAGAATTAGTTGCTTGTTGTCACGATCAGTTAGGGAGCTGTTGCTTACTGCCTGTGGCCAGCATTGCAAGGAATAACACTAGCACACATTGCTGTCCCAGAAATAAAGATCAAAATTCATAACTCAGAATAAGGTTTCTAATGAATGATGAATACATATAATTTTTGTTCCATTGTAAAAAAAAATTTTAATTATTAAACAAAGCTACCATAAGTTGGATACTATGCACTCTGTGATCCCGTAAGGTCAAAGTCAGGTTCTGATTTTAATTTGTTTCTATACCTAGCTTTAATGACTATCAGAACTAAATCTGTATCTTGCAAAGACAGGCAGATCTTAAAGGACTTGCACCTTTGACTGGCATAGCATTAATCAGTTCGATCAAAGCGTTGCATAAGTCTGTCTGGTAAATTTTCTTCTACCTTGACATCGCTCAGTTATTCTTACAATCTCCTTAGAAGACAATGTATTTTTGTTGTTGTTGTTTTGAGACAGGGTCTCTCTGTAGCCCCAGCTGGCCCAGAACTTGCTGTGTAGACCAGGCTGGCCTCAATCTCCAGAGATCACCTGCCTCTGCCTCCTGCGAGCCAGGGTTAAAGGTGTGCACCTCCATTACTGGCTAAGACAATGAATTTTTATATTTTTACTACTGGGCTCATGCTCCACTGAAGCTCTTTATTTGGATTAATTTTTAAGCAAAGTTATTCAGAGAGTTTTGATAAATAGCAGACCTAAGGTTTGAAAACAAAATTTGTACAAATATGGAAACTTTACTAAACTTTCATTTTGAAATGCTCTCTTCAGAGCATCAGCTGCTTTGACAGTGAGTTACTCTCTCTCATATTCTTAAGCCATCATTGTGAGTGTAAAGAAAACAAACGAGCAAATTAGGAGTTTTTTAAAAAATATTTACAAGAAGGAATATTAATAACAAACCATTATCACATAAGAATTAGCAAATTTGGAACATATGTCTTTTTACCAAAGAAAAAAGAATACCTCACCTTTGTTTGTCTACACTTTTAATAATTTTGAAGGAAAATTTTGTACTTTTTGTAGCAATGAAAAACTTTCAAGCTATACTTTTTAAATATTTTATTTATTATATTTATTTTATGTGTACGAGTGTATTGCCTGCAAGTATGTGAGGGCACCAGTGTTGTGCAATGCTGTGGTGGTCAGAAGAGGGCTTCGGATTCCCCTGGAACTGGAGTTAAGGATGCCTCAT